AAAAAAATTGACCTTCTCAAATAGCATTTCTATTATGCAGGTTCTTTCTTTTATTTGTTCCCTCCCTTCATAATTATTCTTTCCTTCTTTTTTTTTTTCTACCAATCTTTCTCATTTCTCCAACATTTCAATGATTTAAAATTCAATATGTTGACTTTTGCTCTGCAGTGCCCTATTGACACAAGGAAGCAGTTAGCAGAGAATATAATCCTTATTGGGGGAACTGTGATGACCCCAGGATTCAAGTAAGCTAAACTTGACATCATATCATGCTTGTCTCTGAGGCACATTTCTCCTCTGAAAAAATCTGAAAGATTTCCTGATCTCTTCCTATTTTCGTCATTCCTAAATCACAATATTTAGGTCACAAGAATAAATGAAATGATCAACTACAAAAAGTAGCTCTTGATTGCAGAACAAATTCTCCCTGTGAGCACCTCAAGAAATTTAGAGAACAGTTTGGAGAAAATGCACACAAATGTTAGGGTTTAGAGGATGAAAAGGCCATGTTATTTTGGTAATTGGCTTGTAATTAGATGTAATTACAGTTTTATCATGATGATAATACAACTATAACTGTTTTTTTTTTTTTTAACATGTAGACATCGTCTGTTGCAAGAGATTTACTGTTTACTTCAATCACCCCGATACAAAGAGAACTTGTTCATGAAAACAATCAAAATGCATCAGATACCTGTCACTGCTAATTGTACATCATGGCTTGGAGGTAGGCCTGAATTCTGTTTTTTCTTTCTCCTTTTGCATTATTTACACAATTTTCTCAGTTTCCCCAGTTTTTCAGCAGAGATGGTGGCCTAATTGTGTACACAGAGGACTCAGTGTGGAGAGGTACAGCATTAACACTCAACCAGGTCAACGAGTTGCTAAGCAATTTACTCTCACAGTGCCTTTCTCCACTCAGGAGTAAAAATGAAGTACTGGCAAATTGTCAGGGAATCCTGATGCTGGGGTAACCTTGCTGTGGATTGGCATCTTATCAAGGGGGGTGTAGTATCAAGAAGCTTCACTTTACCTGATTAGTCTAATCCCTGAACTGTATCACATGTGGGTTTAGGTTCTTCTATTCCCTTCCAATTGTTATGGACTTACTAGTTGACAAAGAGCCACCTTGTGGAGTGCCACTGTTAAAATCCGATTAGGTTAAAGGGCATGCAGCACTGAGTAGGTGAAAAGAAACAATGGTTTGCCTGAATTTCTTCATGTTTTGTTTTACACTAGCTAGGCCATGGATCAAAGTATGAAGTTGGTGTGAAGTGTCCTCCTTCTAATGTACTAAATTAAATACATCTTTTAACTGAAGACATATACTGGTTTACAGTACCTTTGTGATGGATATACATGTAACTGATATTAATTCAAGCCACAATTCAGTATTACCCAGGCATTTTTTTTTTTTTTTTTGTTCTTTTTTACTCTCACTCTAATTGCAGCACTCTATTTCCAGGTGCAATATTTGGTGCTCTTGAAGTGCTGGCTGACCGATCAGTAACCAAAGAGCGATATAATCAAGATAACAAGATTCCAGATTGGGCTTCCTGTGAAGAACAAACCGTCGACAATGTTCCCATTTTAGACGAGCGACTTGAAAGACCAGTTCTGTCACGTCGTCAGACAAGTGGCATCACCAGCACCCTTAGTAATATCAGCAGCTCATTGTCAAGCCGACTTCTCAGTGGCAGCAGTAGAAGCCCCTTAGCATCAAGTTTGCTTCAAAGAGTGGGAGGATCGCCCAGTTCAGGGGCATCATCAAGTATAAAAGAAAGTGACAAAGAAACACAAAAAGAAGAAAAGGGATGAATATTTTAGCTGAAACCAACCATAATTTATTGTAAGGGCATGTGGCTTCTGGAAACCCTGACCCATTTGCTTCCAAATATGTCTAGTTACATTTCATTACATGCTGTTCTTTTGGCACCAAATAATTTGAATAATCAAAGTTGAAATGGTAAATTGGCCACCATTACGGTTATAAAAGCTTCGCTCCGACGAAGGGCTAACGCTCGAAACGTCAGCTTTATAATCGTAACAGTGGCCAATTTACCATTTCAACTTTGTTGATATATTCAAATTATTTCCAATCGTTACCCCCACCGACGCCGTGCCAAACAGTTTCTTTAGAAACTATCAGCCTTTATTCTTTTGGCACCAACCCTAGTGGAGGGGGATATTGTTGCCTACAAGTTAGAAGGGTCTAAGGGACAGGAGGGGGAGACAGCTTTGTTTACTCCCAAGATTTGATTGTTAATTCTCCTCTCTATCTGCAACACATTTCCTTGTAAACTAGTAACAAGAATTTTGTGTTACCGGTAAGTCAAAATAACATCTACCCGTGACGAGTTTGAGTATTCTCAATACCTGTTTGCTGGATAGTGAGTGGATATTATAGAGAGAAGTTATATGTTAATGACTTCTGGGAGCTAAAGGGGTTAAAAGGGTGAATGTCAGAAACCAGCACTTGTAGAAAGTATCATGGCCCTGTTTTTGCTCAAGGGACAATGAATATCAAGTTGAGCTTTTACAGTACGCTCTGTTCAGTTACTGCAGTTTTCAACAAATCTGATATGAGGAAGGTCATCGTAAAATTATCTTTAGCTGTTGCAGTTGGTCTGGGGCCTGTCATGTGTCATACATGTAATAAAGACAAATGAGACCTGACTTAAAGTCACATCCATGACTGCATTCAATGCTACAATCTGTCATATTTATATTAAAATAACAACTAATGGATATCTTGAGCAAATATGTAACAGTGATTAGATTATAGCAATCAGAATTTTTTTATTATTTTAGCTGAAGTTGAACAACTTTTAATAAGTGGCTTTACTGTTTCCAAAGAGGTCAACAGGGTGATCTTTGTCTATGTAAACTATCATTGGTTGCTGTGTTTTGAACTTCAGTCTGCAAGTTAGAGACAAGCAGTAAATGAGGTTAAAAAAAATTGAGTATATGAGCTTGTGAAACAGTAGGGCCAAGGAAAATAGTCAGATTCTCTGACAGTTTTCAGGGGGCACCTCAGTCAAATTACCTCACCAAGCAAGCAACTAACTTAAAGGGCAATCTCAAGTTCAGGGTATAGAGGGAAAGAAGTGTAAAGGCTTTTTGCTACCATGCAACTGTCTCTTGTGTCCCTTTGACATCAAGCATTTGTTATGAATATGTATTGTGTCTGAAAGGAACTAAAATGTGTCTGGGTACAGAAAGTGGAATGTGTCATTTGTGAGACAGTCTCTGCGAAACCAAATAACACCAATGTACTAGACCACGTGCATACACGGTACATTACACATTTCAAATGTTGCTTGCGAATCTTCACCAATCAATTATAGTCTTATTTTTTCTTGCCACAAGTTGCTTATAATATTGTGTGAATCAGAGCTTTTCTCTCCAGAGCAGTTGACAAATTGACTACTCTGTCATATAGGACTGATTAGTTGTAATTCTTAAAAGTAGTTGCTGTATAGTTACTACTGTGTTGTAAGATTGTCACACAAAATGTTTTTTTGTGACATCATTCCATGTCACACAATGAGCTACTAGTCTCAAAAATTATTGTTCAAACAATACCGAGTCAAGTGTGATGTCAAGTTACAAGCTGTAAATCTTCAGCATTGTTTCTAAGCATGGGCTGCCAATGAAATTGGACAAATGAAAGGGTGGCAATTGCAGTTACTTCTGAGGTTACCCACTTACAATAATTGCTTTACATTATATGCAATCTCTGTGCTGCCTCGCCTGAAATTTCAGCTGGCAGCATAACATCTTGGCCACAACTTTGCATCTTGTCTTGATAACACCATGCCCACCCACTATCATTCAATAATACCTTGCATTGCACTAATCCATCAGTCACAAAAGGATAAGACAAAGTGTATTTTGAATTTGATGTTATCTTAACCCAGCTTCAATCAACATGCTTTCTAGAAGAACTTCATTGTCATCATCTAAGAGTGGCTCATGTAGCCATAGTGACAGATATACCATCAGTTCATCTCTGTTCTTACAATGAGTAAATTCCATAACCAGTCTCTGCTTTAGGGAAAGTTCTTTGGTATACAAATCAAGAAGTCTCTTTGAAGCATCACCTAAAAAAAAAAACCTGGAGTGTCAAATTAAAACCATGATTTGACAAGATATAGATTTTATAGATGTGAAAGCAGAGAGAAACACTCACACAATTCCTCAATAGTCCAAGTGCTGAATATTCGATCATCAGAGCTATCTTCCTTCCTTTGAAGAGCCTTCAGGTTTCTTATAGCATTGAAATTCTTCTCTAAAGATTCCATCTTCCTGCATAAATCAGCCTATAGGGGACCAGAACAGTAACGATCTTCAGTATCTAACTACATTTAGGACTAATTTCTTTTTTTATCATTATTAAGTGTCAAAACCAACACAGAAGGAATCACAACTGCAGTTTAGAGCAAAGGAGAACACCCTTACGAGCCACTCAGGACTCAAATTAAAATTAATACTAGTGATACTTGTCAGTAATCACAGGAACAAAAATGCACAGATAACTTTTAGGTACTGATCGGTTTTTAGATTTGAGTCAGATTTGCTGCGAGGATAGTGTAACTTTTCTTGACCGATCATAAAGCTTAGTATTTGGTAAAGGCTGATAGTTTCGAAAGAAACTGTTTGGGGCTGCGTCGGTGGGAGTAACGAAATAATTTGGATATATCAACAAAGTTGAAATGGTAAATTGGCCACCGTAATGATTACAAAAGCTGACGTTTCGAGCGTTAGCCCTTCGTCGGAGCGAATAGAGGAATTGTGGGTTGTGTGTGCTTTTAAAGGCAGAAAATGGAGCTACGTTATTGGTGGGCGCATGGCAACGAGAAAAACATGAATATTTGGTAAGACTGCTGTTACTATGGCCAACTCAAGTGAACTATAGCTAATGAATAAAGGCTGATAGTTTCGAAAGAAACTGTTTGGGGCTGCGTCGGTGGGAGTAACGAAATAATTTGGATATATCAACAAAGTTGAAATGGTAAATTAGCCACCATAATGATTACAAAAGCTGACGTTTCGAGCGTTTTGAACTATAGCTAACCTTACAGTTTAAGCCAGAAGTAATATTACAGTTGACCGAAAAACACTTGATAGTTAACCAAAGCGTCTGATGGTAAATTGACACTCCATTGATAGTTAACCCATGCAAGGCTCAATCTACAGCTGTAGGTGTTTGGTGCAGGTATAATCCCCTTTGGGCACACCAAAACTCCTAAGGTTAGGGACTGGGCCAACCCAGGATGATAAATGTCCCAAGTGGCTGAAATCTCTTTTTCCATGATTGTCTGACTATCAGTAGCGTGTTAATGACCATCAACCACCTATCAACCAACTTATAAAGAAATGGTTAGATATTCTAGTCTTCTCGGATAGGGACGAATAAATGGAGGTCCCGTCTCCTGCAGGGTTGGGGTAGGAGACGTTAATTTCCCACACATGAGATTACTGTGTGATGGATATCCTCCCCTGGGGTGGGATGGGTGGGAAGGTGGACTAGCTCGAACGGTTCCTATGTTCCCTTCTAGTCCTTCCCCACTGCAAATAATGCAGTGAAAATGGAATAAATTAAATTAAATTATTGATCTTTTCTCAATTAATCAACAGACCCAGGCTTTGTTAAGCCTGCAGTGTAGATGTCTAATTTGGGCAAGTCAACATGATAAGCTGGTCATCATTTACCTAAATGCCATGTTTGAATTGGAGTCAGAGTGGACTGTAGAGGTAGGGCCAAGGGATGGAGTGGACTGTGAGGGTGGAGTGGAGAGTGGGAACAGAGTGGACTGTGGGGGTAGGGCAAAGGGATGGAGTGGACTGTGAGGGTAGAGTGGAGAGTGGGACCAGAGTGGACTGTGAGGGAAGGGCCAAGGGATGGAGTGGACTGTGAGGGTAGAGTGGAGAGTGGGACTATAGGCTGTAGAGTGGAGAGTGAGACCAGAGTGGACTGTGGGGGTAGGGCCAAGGGATGGAGTGGACTGTGAGGGTAGATCTAGAGTGGAGAGTGGGACTGTAGACTGTAGAGTGGAGAGTGGGACCAGAGTGGACTGTGGGGGTAGGGCCAAGGGATTAGTGATGGTAAAAAATAAGTTGGATAGCTATAGCGATTTATCTGTTGGATATAATAATCCACCTTTTGAACAACTGGTCCAGATGGACTATATATCCTAGGTTTTTTTTTTTTTTTTTTTTTTTCGCACCTACCAAAGAATCATAAATTCGTGATAGTTCCTGAGAAGTGTTCATAATTTCATCATGTAGCTTAATATCAGAGTCGTGGTCAACTGAAGCAGTAGATGAAGCAGTAAGTGTCGCGGTGTCGTCAATCGCACTGTACCTGTTGACCAAAATATTCAAAGCAGTCTTCGTAAATAGATTGATTGAAAATCAGCCGGGGACGTTGTATATCATGACCATAAGATACAAATTCACGTAATTTGGTACAAAATTAGACGCAACATACTCTTTTTGAAGCTGTAAATTCACCAGCTTGTTCGCCACAGACAATCCCACTTCCTTCACCTTTGACCATTTTTGAGTATGTTCGTGCCAGCTGGCACAACAATCTCTAACCTTTCTAGCAACATCTGACGGGTTTCTATTGGGGGATTGTCTTGGAGATGGTGAATTTGAAATATTTTCCTTTTTAGATGGCGTTTTTGGAGTTTTGGGAGACTTAACCCTCTTTGGCGAAGCGGTCGCCATATTGGAATTGAGTGCTGAGGAAAGCTGGGTTCAAAGTTGCAGGTTGCTAGGAAACGGAAGCCTCAAAAGTTGATTACTAGCAACGAGGACTTTATTTATATAGCAACTCCAATTGCGTGCATAATAAAGAATTCACTGAAGATGCAAGAATATGAACTTACCATCACAGTGCTGTGAAAACTCTCTGACGATCTCGAAGCTGAAAAGGCACAGTACAGTATACGTTCGCAAGTGAGTATTTTATTTTTCATTTCAATGCGTGTTTGACGGAATGAAATTGGAAAAAGTATGTTTTTCGCTCCTGATCTCTCGAATCGGTATTGGTGGTCAAATGTACATGTACCTTTTCTTTCGAATACAGAGAAGTTTTAAGCAAATATAACAAGCAATTAACTTTGTTTTTGCAAGCTTGCTGCTAATAAAACTTCCAACGTAATCAGCATCGAAAGAAAAGGCGACATTAACATTTCTATAAGCACAGATTTCTTCCAGACTTATCTCAAAGCAGTCTCTCGGCTCCAAATCACGATCGATAGTCACGCACCAAATATAAGGTTTGATTTTCGTTTCTGAAAGTTTATAATTATATCTTCGTTAGTTGCCCTTAGTATGTCTCATTTACCTAAAACTTCGGTTTGCAAAACGAAGTACACGCTACAGTGTACTTCTTTTCTCGTTTTGAATGAAACACTGGCAGACCAAACGCGTAAATTTGAAATATTAAGTTTAATTGCGGTCGCCTAATTAACATATTCACTTAACTGAAAAATTTGTAAGCACGTTTGTTCAAGTTCATAAACAGTTGATTAGGAATGTAAAACAGAAATACATCTCTGACTAAGTTTGTTTTATTGGTGTTCCGTCACAGCATTCATCCATGCCCTTAAAAAGGAACTAATCTTAAATCAAAGTATCTCAAACTAACACGACAGGAACACTTCACAATGCCAAATGAATGTCTTTTGTTCAGCACGGCGTGAAGTGAGTTTGTTGACACGCGTTGAGTTTACGTGACAACATCAGAAAAATTATCGCTGAAGTCTTAATAAGATCTTTTCAAGGGACTATTTTCTCCATGGAGCCTTGTACAAACTGCGTGTACTAAGTATTTCTGTGGGTTTAAAAGAGGTAATAATAATTTGAATCTGCAGTGATGGCTAGACTTGCGCGTACTTGAAACTTTAGGCAACAAAGTCGTTGTTTTACCAAAAATTTTCAACTCCAAAATGGTATGTATAAACTAACACAAAAACTGTAATTTAAGATTAGAGGAGCATTCTACCAGGTACCATTTGCTTGCTTAATCTTTCAGCCCATCCAGTATTTTCTTAATCCCTTTGAATTGTGTCATAGACTTAGGCAGGAGCTTGATGGCCCAGGCACTTTATGACAGCTCCCCAACACACCCATTGCATCAATACAACCACCATGAGAGTAATCCAGAGCTTTTGTCCCACATCCCTGATGCAATGAAGTCAGTTTCAACTAACAGGGGGCAAGTGGACTACACCATGAGTCACAACAAGGGTTCTCCAAAGAAGAGGTTGTCACGGTTGGAATTGCTCCGAAGTGATTATAGCAAGAAACTTCAAATTGAAAGAGAAGAGAAGATACGTAAACTTCAAATTATTCAACAGGAGAATAGTCACAACCAGGGTAGCAGTAATGGAGGAATGGTGCGGGAATTTTTTGCAGAGAGAAGAGCACTGGAGGCTACAAGAAAAGGACAGAAAAATCCTGAAATTCTTCCTCCTATTGAGTCACACTTCAAGATGGTGAGAGATCAAAAACAGGAGCCATTTCTGGAACACATTGCTAGAAATAGAAAAAATTCAAAAACAAATCTGTCACATAGTAAACCATTTAGTTTGAAACTGGAATCATTTCCATCACAGAAACCAGGGCCAACAAAACATCCATCAAGGATGCAAACAAAAAATGTTGGTGTCACTGTGCGCAAGAGAACAAAAGGTGTTGATAAACAAGACCCTCTTCCTCCAGTGAACAAGGGTGGGTCTCAAGTAACAAGGAGAAAACCACCTACTCCAAATAAAAGATATGAAACACATTCGGTATTGAAACAGGATGATGTAGAGGATTTTGGGCCTTCTGGCCTATCTGATAAGCCAATACCTCCTATTGAAAGACGACCAAAACGTTCCAAGTTTCCCATACCTCCCCCAAGTGCAGTAGACTCAGTAAGTGATTTTGATGATGCACAGAGCACCCTTACAGATTATAGCAACATAGCTCCAAATCTGAGCAAACTTAAAGCAAAGGCACTGAAACAAAGACAACTAAGTAAGCAAAGGTTAATTGATACAAGTAAAACTCAGGAAAATGCCAAATTGACAGACTTTCAAAAATGGCAGATGGAACAGGATCAAGAGCGAACAAAAAGGCTCGAAAAACTGCACAGGCAGAAATCAGAGTTGTCTCTTTCCCAGAGAGAAAATGAACTACTTCAACAAATACAAGAGGAACAACTTAGGCTTGAAAAATTAAAGCTGCAGAGGGAAAAACTAGTAGAACAGGAGATGCGACAAAAAGAAGAGGATGAAAAATGGTTCACTGAAAAGCAGAGCTTAGAGAAACAGGCAATCATTTCTCAGCAAACTTTGGCCAAAGATTCAAATCCAGTGAAGAAGGTAGCTTCAAGAAAGGTTTCCAAATCATATAAAGAAGCACAAAAAGAGAAAACTCATCCTCAAGAACTCCAGGAAGTAGAACCTGACACAGATGAAAACATTCATGACAATGCTTACCAAGATTTTTATGAGCAACAAACACGAGGTTTTGGTGAGATTTCAGTGGATGTTTCTCCTTGTTCAATTTGTGGGCGCAAGTTTGCTGTAGACAGGTTGGCCAAGCATATAAAAATTTGTGCAAAAAGTTCAAACTCCAAACGCAAGGTTTTTGACACAAGAAAGCATCGCAGTGAGGGCACTGAATATGAAAAGTATGTACAGAGTGGAAAACATCTCGAGGAGCCCAAGACAAAGGTAGGTGTCAGCTGAGTCCCGGCCCTTCATATCTGTTCTTTAGGATGTCAGGCAGTGCGCTTCCAAAAGAATCTTTCAGCGGAGTGAAGCATGACATCCCAAAGAACTGTTGCAAAAAATTCAGGGTCACCTTTGTTTATAAAAAGTTTTCAATTGCCCTGCTCACAGCAGACTATTAGCAATCCCTTCTGTGCAATTCCTTGATAATAACTTTTGCTTGACTGTGGAATTTAAAATGTATCAATAAACCAAAGGTCTGCATGAAGCAGGATAAGTACTGGACTTTCAGAGGGTGGGTGAGGCAGGAGAATAAAATGCATATAGCATCCTAGTCCTCTGTTGTTCCAATGTTAAGCTCACTGGATTTTTCTTCCACACACAAGCCCTTCTGCTAACCGTACACCACTTTATTTGGTTTCTATCCCGGCCTCTAAACATCTAACAAATAACGTTTTCATTAATTTAGAGGACCAAGTCCCTCCCCAGGCCCCCCCTCCCCTCAAAAAAAAAATTCCAATGACCCCTTAATGGGATAATTTTTATCTTCCAGGGTTACACAAAAAAACAATTTTTCAGGGCAACAATTGGGAAATCAAAATTCGTTTAACTTCCCCATCTCAGTGATTACTCAAAAATTAATTAATTTTAATTTCAGCCAAAGGCAGACTGGAGGGCTCAACATGAAAATTTCATCAAAACAATCCGCTATGCTAAGGGAGTAAGCAACACTCCTCCTCCACCAGCACAAAACCCAGACTATGTACAGTGCCCACACTGTGAGAGAAAGTTTAATTCTGCTGCAGCAGAGAGACACATACCAAAGTGCAAGGACATTAAAGCCAAACCTGCTACTTTGAAGAAGAAGAAACGATAAAGTTAATTAAAAAAGATTTTACAAGCTCAAATTTTAAAGAATGTCAAGTGTGTTTTTCTGGGGTTAACCTGGAACTTCGTTCTGAAATGCTTTTGAATGACGTGCTTCTATACTCTCAAGAGCAAGATTTATTGAAACCATGTTTGTAATATTAGTATTTTATCAGGTAACAATTACAAAATTATGCAACGAAGTTGGTTTCATGATGTCAAGGTTAAGAATATCCAAAGTGAAACCATCCAAGCCATGTCACCTTCAGTTTAAAGTAATCACAAAACTTTGAGATATACGGCTTCTCAAGAAAGTACTTCACATTAAATGGGTTTCCATCATAAGAGCTTTTGGCAAGGAAGAGAAATAAGGGAAAACATTCAGTAAATTATTTCATACTGGAGGTAAAATCAACCCCATACATTGAGTTTTCCAACACCATTTCTACAACTTCAAAGGAGGTCATCAGAGTCAAGTAAAAAGAGTTATCAAAAACAAATTTTTATTGAAGTTTGAGGCAAACAAAACACACTTGCCTTGAACCATGTGTAGTATGAAGTCCTACAACACTTGTCTCTCTGAATAAATATTCTACTAAGTTTCAAACTCTCTCAGATATTCTCCGATGTACTCTTTCATTGTTTTAAAATACATATGTACAAACATCTGTATAAATATACTTAACTAGATAAATATTTTGTAAACAGGTAAACAAACTACCTGTTTTACAAACTGACAATGGCTTTTCCACCACACAAGCAAGTAGGAACAAATATCACAGAAAAGGAAACAAACGGAATCACAGATAGGAATGTTTTGGTTGCGGCTCAGAGTAAATCAAAGCTAAAACAGATCTTTTTGCAGGTTTTGATTATGCTGTTAAATGTGTTTGAAACCAAGGGGTGGAGGAATTTGAATCAAAAGTAAAACTGAAAAACAAAACATGCCATAATCGAAGAAAACAATAAGGGCAAGTACTTAAAATCTACAATTTCCTTCAAAAAGAAATGGTTTCATAAGCTGAAAATGTTGGTGAAAAAGCCATAACAGCGTACTCTACCACTCCAAAAATGTTAGCACTTTCAAAACACTCAGACGTCCCACTTCTCCAGGTCTAAGAACTTGTGTAAAGACAACATCCTTTCCACTGCTGTGGTATACACACAGACTAAATATTTTACTTAACACCACCAAATGGAATCCTCTTGGTTACTTTGCTATAGAGATATTTTCTCTTAAATTTACATGAAAATCTCTTGTTCCAGGTATAAAATGGCAATTTGACTCAGGTTGATAATTGTTGTCATACAATATTAAAATGCTGACTGTTTGCACAGACTTTCCCCGGTATCAAAACAAAACCTGAAAGTAACCCTACCAAAGTACTGTTTGAATCAACACTTTTTCAAATGCCTGAATGGTACAGAAAATGATACAGAGAAAACAAAAAAGTCCATAATACTAGTACAGTAAGGAAAGAAGACTCTACAAATTTTCTTGCAATCAAGAAAGGTTGATAGACATTTTAAGAATATGGAAGATCAAATCCAACCTTTTTAAAGGTCTGATTGGACATGCCCCCTTACAAAATCAAACTTGGTTATTATCTTAATGACTGCTCAGGATCGACTGCAATTGAAGCTCGACATGTTCTGTCTTTAGGCAATTCAGTCTTCCCTATTCTTATCTTGGTCAATGATCAGATCAGACATCGTCTTCTTTGTTTCCTTGCATTAAAAAAAAAGTTCAACATTTTTTAACCTGTATCTAAGTGCAAACTATCCAAAAATTGTTTGATAATTGTAATGAGTATTTTGCTGAAGATAGTATTACAACTGGTTTAATAAGGTTGATGTAGTCATCAAATTCCCTCACTGAGAGAGAAGGAAGCCTGCTTCCTTCCTTTGAGATAGCAACACAACCCCCGACCAGCTGTGTTTAGAATAACTTTCATCAAAGCCAGGTGATTTCTAAGTTTCACTGAGATATTCCTAAGATGATCAGCGGTGGGAATCTCATAACCCTAACACAAGACATTGTAAACTTCATCTTAGGAAATTGATTCACAGTGCTTCTCCATCAGATTTCTCCTGGAAAAAGTGAATGTAAGTTACTTCAAATATGCTAATTTGAAAAATTACAAAGTGCATTTTTTTAAGTTTTGGTGGGTTTAACGGCCACACAGAAGAAAGTGCGTTTACATCCCAGGGCTCAACACTAACTTTTCAACTTACCAGCCAAGAGGCTGGTGACAACTTAGATGTTACAACAATTTCAGTTTGTTTACTAGCCAAACTGGCTGTTGGAAATCAAAAACCCCTAGCCAAAACTAAATTTCTACTAGTTTGTGGCTAGTTGGCTATCATCAGTGTCGAGCCCTGTGTCCACTTATTTCAATGTAAGAAAATCGAGCAGATTGACACAGGAAAGGGTAAATTTCAAGCCAAACAAAATTTACAGGACTGTAACAGTAATGATGTTCAATTTTAGAAATTCTGTTCATTCCCCTTTTGGTTTTTGATAATGGCCTAGACAGAGTTTAGCGATTGTTACATGACCACTACTGAGTGAACACCTGAATTTATACATGTCTTTTAAATCTGATTATCTAACTTCTCCAAATAATGGAGTGATGTTTAGTAATAAACCCAGAATAAATGGGCATTCAATCTTTTCTTTTTGTCTTTATGATGATGCAAAAAATTCCATTATCAACAATCTGATAAAATAATTTTGTTATCCTCTGGGTCCCCAACTTGTAGAAAAACACTAGTAACCAGTAGTTAACAAAGGAGAGGCAATGAGGCACACAAGACTCTCTGGTTGCACCAACATCTTTTGGTAATGGTGAAGAGCTCCACAAAAAACACAACAACTGTACATGCATCCACAACTGGGTTAATCATGTAGTACTTCACTACAAAACCTCACTAAGAAGTCAGCTGAGGCATTTTAATAGGCACAGCCAGGTTCTTCCACAGGTGCAAGACTGAATGATGGGTTCATCTGTATAGGCTTGAAGGACAGTACAGCTGGATCATAGATGCGACTATGTCTTGCACTTGAAACACTCTGAAATTTAAAAGCATGACAACACATTTACATTTTTACATTTATATAGCGCAGACTTCTATGTGGATATATTCAGTTGTGCTTAACAGTATCGCAAGGTTGAGATCCGACGTCAGCATTTTTATCAGGCGCCTCTGGCAGCCGCTTCAGTCCATGTAGCGATCTCACCTTCCCACCAATCCCACCCCGAGGAGGACATCCACTACACAGTATCTCGTGCATGGGAAATTTACATCTCCTGCCCCTAACCCTCCAGGAGACGAGACCTACGGCTTTATGTCTTATCCAAGAAGATGAAGCAATGTGAGTGAAGCGTCTTGCTTAAGGACACAACGTCATGCCCCAGCCAGGACTTGAACCCGGGCCAACTGACCCAGAGTCCAGCGCACTGACCACTGGACTACACACACCTCACGCCAGTATTAATCAACACTTATATGGCTAACATCAGTGATTGACCATAACATCTACAAATCCTTTCTCTCCTTCAAAGTTTGGATTAACCCTTCGACTAGCTACCGAGAGTGACTAGCATCTAATTTCACTAGACAACATCACCACTGATTCACACTTTCAGGTCATAATGTTAAAAAAAAATTCTCCTCATCAGCAACGCCGGAAATGTATGAAGAACAGCATGGAGAACATGCATACAGATGTTAGCCGGGGTATAAAGTTAAGTAAAGTATGCAATACTTAAAATCACCATGTCAAAACAGACTAAGGAATTTCAATTTTAACTTCTTTTTGTTCTGCTCCACGTCTAAAATTACAATTGCAGTCTATCAAAATACTACGGTGGCCCAGAAGGCTCAACGCAAACAAAAAATATACTGCAGCAAATAAAAAATATACTGCAACAAATGAAAATATACTGCAGCAAATAAAAAAAATCAAAACGCAAAGAAAAAAAGTACCGCAGCAAATAAAAAAATGCAACGCAAACAAAAAATACAGCAGCAAATAAAATATGCAACGCAAACAAAAAAAAGAAAACGTAAACAAAAAAAATTGGAATGCAACGCCAAGGAAGACTGGGTAATAGTTCTTAGTTTCCCGCCAAAACAGCATGAACTGGAACTCGTTTTTGGTTATGGACGAAAGCGATCTGCGTAGGATTATAGAAGATTACTTTCATCAAGGGTCTGAAAATAAAGTTATTATGGAATTTTTAAAGGAGCAGCATGGTACTGTCATAAGTTTGCTGCAAAACATGGTTTCAGAAAGGCGAACAAGCAAAGGATGGAACGAGTGTTGGCGGGAAACTAAGAACTATTACCCAGTCTTCCTTGGCATTGCGTTCCAATTTTTTTGTTTGCATTTTCTTTTTTTTTTTTGTTTGCGTTGCATATTTTATTTGCTGCAGTATTTTTTGTTTGCGTTGCATTTTTTATTTGCTGCGGTACTTTTTTTCTTCGCGTTTTGATTTTTTTATTTGCTGCAGTATATTTTTTAGTTGCTGCAGTATATTTTTTATTTGCTGCAGTATATTTTTTATTTGCTGCAGTATACTTTTTGTTTGCATTGAGCCTTCTGGGCCACCGTAAAATACACTAACAACACTACTGCATTGAAATATTTTATTTACAGTGTGGTTATTAAATTTACACCTTGTATCAACACAAACAACTTTTAGGTAAGGCAAGTTCAACTTCCCTTGAACCTGGTCAAGTGTTTGCATCAAATCATGTAAACAAAACATAGCACCACAAGTACCCTTCCTGTGCCAATTACAGCTGTAAAAATGTAACATGGCATCCTGTTTGAATACCTTCACAGAAGCAACCCAGGGCTAAACCAACTGACAGTTCATTCAGCTACCCCTTAAAAGCCCTAAGGGTGATAAGCCTCTTATTTCTCGCCCTATATCCCCCTAAAGCAAATATCAAGGACATGAAAATAAAGAAAATGATCAAACTCAAAAGGCCCTTGCTTATTAGACATAATCTCAATGCACGTATCATGGGAAAAATGTACAGAACTTAAGTACTGATATTCCAACTTACCCTTACTCTAACTGGTCTGGGTCTTGAAACCCCATGGGTATGCTTCTTAATAAAGACGGATTTCTAGAGGTAAAAAAGAAAAAATCCTAGTCAATGATAGCAGAAGTTATTACTGTAGCCTTCATCAGAGTCTAGAATACACTTTTATAAGCCAGTCCAAGCGTAATTAAACCTTTTTGATCCAATCACAAGATGAAACAGTTTGGTTCCCCATCCAATTTACAACTATGATTTATAAGTTTGTCAACCCATAACAATATACAGAAACACAGCGTTATGAAGATGTTTCATTTACTTTAAACATTTATACTCATGAATGATCATAACTGAGTAAATATAGCACCACTTAAAAAAAAGTGATGGATGTTTCACTTTTTGATCTCTGCTTTACATAAACAATAACAGGTCTTTCAGTTGGTCACGTAGTGGCAACTAGCATTAAAATTCTGATCACTCTTCATCAATTTTTAGTTGCATGGGTGACCAGCAGCTGGTTCTCATTTCAGACCCAAAATTGTCATTATCCACACGTACACTGGAAATGTTCACCCATGAAACATTTCCAAGCTAACACTTGGTTCAGTTTTTTTTTATCACTCAAATTAAGTTTGGTAATGGCAAGTGTTGGAAGATAATGGCACTTGTTGCAGAAGACACACTCAAAAAAAAAAAAAAAAATCCAGCCAAGTCGCTAGGGCTAGGCTGGGAATCACTTAAAATCAGCAAGCAGGAAGATGTGAGAATAGATAAGTGGTTCATGTTTCTACCCTAACTAGAGTCAAGAAAAATATGAATAAGATTGTATGTGCAATGTGAGGTTGTCTCTTGGAAATTTGCAAATTTTCAGAAAAACAATATCAACATCCAGAATAAAATTATCATTTCAGGGAAGGAATTTAGACCACATGGGATTAAATGGATATTTGTTTTGACAAAGAGGCCAAAGTTAAATTCCTCAGGTTGATATGGCAACCATCAATTAGGAAGTCATAAGCTGACATGTACATTCAACTAAGTTTTTCATTATTTTAACCCTTAGAACTTGCTCTTCAATTTCCCAGCCAATCACATCTTGAAGTCACATTAATCCAAACAAAACATTTCAACAAGTTGCAAAAGGTTGAGTTCACAAACAAATAAAACACAAAAGGCGTGCTTTGTGGGGAGGAATCTATCGTTTCTTAAGATAAAATTTCAGAGCCAGAGCAACGTAATCTGTGATCCAACGATACAATAGCAGCTCATCTTAAAAAAAAGCAAACAAAAAAAAACTCTAGAGAAACTACTGGAGAGAGGTAAAAGCTGACCTCTGCTAGGGTCAAAAATGTAGTGAGGCTGAGAAAATTGGCAACTTTCGATAACGCATCACGAGAATACAGCAATTAGACCAGATGCTTTAATTTCAAAAAGATATTTTGCAGTTCTTATTAAAATGCGTTGTTTACGCATCACGGACCCAAATCAAAAGAACATAATTATAGCTAAATGACAGATTCGATTCACGGGTTGGCACAAGATTCAAACAATAAAACTCGTTGTTTTGGAGAAAATTTACCTCTTCTACACCATACCTGTTGCATTTTCTCGAAGTTTAATGACGGTCTTGATGTATATCCCCCGTCTTCGGCAAAAACAAGACGGTGTTTTTTCCTTGAGTGTCCCTCACTTGTCAATATAGTGGGCCGCACTCGTGTCGAAAATGCAGAATGTTTCGACAGAACAGTCACTTTGCCAGGTGGACTTGAACTGAGAACAAGTGGTCCACTACTTTTACCGCACAGTTCTTTAATTTCGTCATCGCTCGATGAACTATCGTTTCCAGAGGCAAACTGTTGTAATAGCTTGTGAGCATTTACTTGAGACCACTTTCGCTTTTCCGGTGCACTACTTTCCCTTAGAGGAATATCTATCGGTAAAAAACCACCTCTGCTGTCTCCCTTTGTGTCTCTCTCTGTAAATATATTTTCCTTCGCTGCTTCCCCTTCAGGTCCTGCGAAAGCCGACGCTTTGATCTTGAGCGGTTCATCTTGCACATTGTTGTTATTCAAAGGTTTGTCGACCAGCGCTGATGGCGAAAGTGAAATCGACAAATATTAATGATTACTTGTTGCGGAGAAACGTTAAAAGGAAAAACTCTCTCAATTACCTCCGTTTATCTCTTTTAATTCGTCGTCCTCGTCTGTACTTCCCTCTAAGTCGGACTCATCTTGTAAAAATAACTGAAAAAAAAAAATGAAAGAATTTGTAATAAAACTGCGAGGATAGTTTCAATACATAAGAACAAACGAGCTTCGTGTCAACACCGTGTTTCAGAAAGAGAGGAGTCGTATTCTTACTTGTGGCTCATAAGGCTTGACTTCATTGATGGATTGGTTCTTGAGTTTGAGAGCCAAAAATTTCAGCATTTCTTTCTTGATAAGAAGTCTTGCTCAACTGTTTGATGGCGGGAACAAGAGCCTTTTTCCCGCGAGAAGCGTCGAGTGTGTTGACGTCGCGAGGCCCTTTTCGGAGAGAAAAACAATATCTCATGAAAAATTACACTATACGACATCGACACTACTGCTTTCCGGATCTACAGTTTTTCAATCCTTCAAATAATGTCGGCAAGAGTCCGAAACTCGTTGAAATGCATCAGCACTTTCTTGCGGTTGGACTGCGATCATCTATCGAACTCGACAATCCAAGTAAATTTCATATTTCGTAAGCAGCATTGCTACCTTACCATTTCTCTATATATAAATGCATCACACTACAAATTCTACTATAGGCCTTCGTTTAGAAAATAAAAGTATTACATAGGTTAGTTTGACGAGCTAACGAATTAGCAACACACAAATGAAAACAGCACACAATTTCGAAATTTAGGAATGAGGTCTACTTGCTATAACCCAGCTTAAACCATCGTTGTACTCGCATAAGTTTGACAGTGAGGATACATTTCGTGACCCAAGAAAATACGAAGCTAAACATAAAATACGAGTTAATAAATGAGACAATTTCCTATTTTTTAAATGCGGTCGATAAAGCTCTACTTCACAAGGAGAGAGAAGTCGTACAATTCTGAGAGCATAAAAAATTCAGGGAAAAGGACGGGTGGTTGAGTGCCCTTGGAAAACACCTAAAATTTCGGTTTAACTTAAAAATTCTAGCCACATTTTAAACAGCCACGAAGCTTTAAGTTCAACATGAAAGGCTGGCGAATGGCAAACTCATGAAAAAAAGTTCATTTCCAACTCACAATGAAGGCCAGGTGCCGTTGACAAAGAAATGCGTGTTCGCCGTTTCTATTTCTTCGATCCCCCGCGGCAACTTCAGTTTTTACTAGGCTGTGGCGAAAGCACCATCGGCCATTCGATTCAAAACATTTCCCCACCGAAAACAACGACGATTAGAATGCCAAGAACGTTTGAGACGATACCGTTTGGAGGAATATGTCATTCTCAAAGTGTGTGTACAGAGCACATTGATAGCGTTTATCGACGTTTAAGAGTTAAACATTCTTCAAATAAAAGTGTTCAACGAGGAAGTTAGAAAATGTTCAATAAAGGAATACCTTTGAGCGAAAGCCGGAGTATTCACAGTGTTGATTTCATCGTACTTTACAGCTTCCAGTTAAAGTTTGCAAGCGACGTAAATGAACACCCTGGAGAACTAAATAAAGCTCATGGGACCGAATTGCAGTGATCTGATTGGCTACTGTAAGTGAAAATAGTCCATTCACTGCGCTGACAGCCGGTGACAAGTGCGCGGCCGTGACCCCGTACATAAATTATTGGATTTCTCGCGAAATGGCAAAGTACAAATGAGCATATTTTTGCACAGTATCGAGTTTCGCAAACATAATCACGTTATTGCATTCTCTTCCACAAGTTGCGTCGCGGAATCTGAAGGGCGACCTTTCAAGAGGTGCGATTCAATTATCAATTGCAGGACTTGGACTTTAATTTCTGCGAAATCCAAAGAATACACTATAAAAACAAAACAAATGTCGCTCTTTGGCCCGACGCGTGGGCCGGTGGGAGTAGTCGGGGCGGGAGTGACACAAAGAAGAACGAAACGAGTGCTATTAACTCAATTTTGCGACTCGTGCCCATCACATGCCCACTGCAATTTACTTTATCTCCGATGAGAAAATTTTAAACTTCATCTGGCTCAAGCCCTGGGACATCTTTGAGGAATTTTGTAAGATAGCGTATCTCGACGGTCAGTTTCACCTTTTACTTGGCAGTCTCGTCCAGTGGATGGTTGGACAAAAAATCAGTCACGCGAAACCAATGACGCACCAGAGCGATCTTGAAATCAATAAAAAAAAGCATTTAACAAAGAGTCAAGGGAATTTCTGGCTCGACTGCTAAGTTTTAGCGTAGGACTACCTTTCAGTATGGACTGAGTTTTGCACAATTTGACTTTTTGTCACTAAGGGCCATTTTAAAAACATTTCGCTTGCTAATAACGTCATGAACACATCATAACCAAGGAAGCACGATTTACATGGATCAGTTCGTAATCTAACTTTAAATTAGCGCCAGTTCGTAAGCCCCATTGTGATTTAACTTGATCAATCCGTAAAAGTGATGTGTTAGCACCTTAGGGTTTCGTAAGTGGAAAATAGTGCATGTGAGCGGCAGGTGAGACGGATTTGGCCACCCTGAAAAAAATATCTAATGTGCCCTTACTCCATTGACTCGCTTCCAGCTGATTCTTTAAAAGGAGTTGACCAATAGAAATGTGTTTTATTACAAAGAATGGGTGAAATATTCAAATAAACAAGACCGCTTATATAACTGAACGCACGTGACAAAATTTCCCTGTGCGGCTTGAACAGCCTGTCTCGCCGTCTCGCTGGAATAGGGTTGTTAGTGTCCACATCGATCTTGGCAAAATGCTAACTAAATATAAATATTTTTTTTAGGTTGACAAAGAGGCTTAGCTGTAAGAAATTCAAAGACTCACTCTCTCGAAAATAGAGGAATTTGAAAATGACGATTGGTGACGGCAAAAATGGAACTTTTCCAAAATAATTACGTCGTTCACAGCGAAAATGGAATCTGGCGTTTTCACAAATTGTTTTGAACAATATCATCGAGATCAAAACGTAATCGGGGGATCTGAGATCACAGCAGCAAAATAGCCGATTTCGAACGTGTTTAAAATAAACTGAATATCAAGAACCCTAAGATTACCATGTGGCTAAGTTCTGCACCGCTGACGCCACGGAATTTTACTTTTTCGTCCGTCTTTGGTCTTGTGATTTTAAAACTATTCGCGCGACTATTCCCGATAAGCCAAGCTAAGGCGATAGAATACGGTAAGCACAAGGAAATACGGAAACCGAGGGGAGAAATGGTACACCAGCTTCACTTTTTTTGTGAGGGGGGGGGAAGGGGCGGGGTGGCTCTTCCTTTATTTTGACACCTTCTGTACTATAAGATTAAATATTTTATTGTCAAAAAAGTAGAGGATCTCGCAAAAGCGAAGACAGTTACAATTTAAAGGTAGACTGAATACGAGTGTTGTTTTGAACTTTTCAAAAGCAATGATCTATACGATTTGGTGTAGTGTGTTGGATATTTTACAAAAGATAAAAGTTAACGGCTCTAACATACAGTAAAGCTCGTAAAGCAGGCAGTAGCTTGTACTTGGCGCAGAAGGCCAAACAATGATGCGGAAGAGGAAGGGGAGGGACTGCATGGAAGGTTCCCCCCCTGGATCCAGTCCTTTTTTCGCATCAACAGAAGACTTCTATTAAGGCCAAGTCTAAGGCCAAAGTAAGCTTTCGTAGAATTTGAAGTCAGATCATTTTGGTATACATAGCGTAGCGCATGGGGGAGGTGGGTGAGGGGGCAGGTGGCTGAGGGGGGAGGTGGGTAAAGAGGGAGGTGGCCCATTTCCCTGAGGTGAGGAGCGCAAATACTCTGGACAGAAAAAAAATGAACAAAGCCGGGCAGGAGGAAAAAACACCAAAAACTAAAGCCGAACGATAAAGGTCAGGGTTTGATTCCTAGCAGATATCTCTATCAATGATTTTCCTTTATTCCGGCTCCATTTCCGCCAACAATCTTCTCACAACTAACCTAGAAAAATTAACGTCATTTGGGCGTTTCTTTTTCCTGATATAGTATCATTAGCTAGAGCACTACGAGAGATGATTAATTACTGTACGAACAAACAGCATCGAAAGAAAAATAAGGCGTTGACGTCACTATTACACCGAAATGGTAATTTCTTATTTTGTGTGTGTGTGAATAAATCATTAGTTATAAATCTTCCGCTCCCGTAAGGAGTGGACGGCTCTTAGATCAACCGTCCACAGGTCTATGTTTAGCCTTGTACAATACACTGGCGCACTCGTACGTAAATTGATATCGCAACACCACCACCACCTTAAAAACGATATATTTATGATTTCAACTTCTCGTAACTAGTGTACAGTATTTATATCTATGCGAGACATGGGAAAGTTGAGAAGAGATTTGTACCGGTGAGCTGATCGATGGCAGATCAGCTGCCTTTAAAAACAAAATTTAATACTGAAAATAAAAAAAAAATAACAACAGCTGTTTTGAATTGAATGTCCGAGAGAGCAAAATCGCAACAAAGTTTAAATTCGCTCGATTCATCGCAAATGTGGCTTACGTCCTCGCAGGGAAAAAGTTTTATTCCCAAATCGCCAATTTCTTTTTCCTTTAGATAAAATATTTAAACTGCCCTTTTCTCCGAGTTACATAAGTACAGTTTGCAATTACATCGTTCAAAAGTTGTACAACCTTGTAGAAAAGAGAAAGTACACGTAAGAGGCAGGTATCCAACATTCTCAGACTGTACTTTTTCGTGTCGAAGGAAAAACAAAGTTGTATTGGGGCTATTTAACTCAGATTGGGTAATAGGAATAACTACTTGGATTAGTAATAAAATTAATCGGGTGAAAGATCTGGAATATAAGAGTCGTCCGATTGACAATGTTTTTCTGAAACAAACAACATCCCGTGGACCAAAATATATTTAACGACCGAAAAGACTGGAAATTTCACCAGGCGGAACTAGGGAAAAAAATCTGCATATCGGTCGGCGAGAAAGGAAGTTATTATTAGTTTTTTTTATCATTCTTTCTTTGGGGATTAGGGGAGAGGGCATAACTTTTGAACTGCATTTATTTGGGTAAATTTAACAGTTTTATTAAATAAATGAAAAAGAGTTTTCGTACGTATCAACTTTAAGAAAAGGCTAAGTCCCCCTTTATCAAAATTAAAACGTGTCATGTTAAAGCGACGTTTGTTGATAACAATATGAGAAGTTTTATTATTTCAGGTGTTCACGTGGGTGAAGGGTTAATTCTTCCAGATAACCCTTATTGGTTTAAAGCCGGCCCCTTTCAAAGGTGTGCCGAAAGCTCAGCTGAGCTAAATTTGCCGGTTGCACTTGATCGCCGCCAATTTGGTTGGTGTGAGAGCACATGGAGCAATGTTCTCTTGTTCAGAGCCACGCTTGGCTCTGATGGTACAGGTTATGTTTGTTCCTAACTATTTATAACAAGACAAATGCGCAAGAGAAAGGCGAAGAGAAGCCAACAGATCCATGAGACCTGTTATTTTCAAAAATTACATGAGACGGACGCCACTCTAAACAACGGATCAATCATTCGCTTATTTTGCGTTGACATATGTAAATAATTTCGATAGCCAACACAGGAAAGGCAAGATAAGAGAATTAATTTTAATTAAAACGTGTTTGGAGTTTTAAATTCGAGTCAAGGTGAAAAAAAAATCTGCTGTTGCGATATCGATATGTTAATTCAAAGGAAGCGCCGAATTCAAGACGTGATCAGTGGCTTTAAGAATCTTTTACATATGCGTGTTTTCTTTGGAGTGGCCCAGTTGAAAGGGATACATTGAAAATTAGTCTCCGAAGAAGGTGTGTCTACATTGTTCGCGGATATTCGATGAAAAAGGCGGTTTCGTTGAACTTGTAACCAAGCTAAAGTAGATAATTTTTTTGGGAAATTTCTGTATTCTTTTTCTCCCACGTCTACCTACTTGCCAAGTTTACATTCTCTTGTGGTAGTATCAAAATTTTTACCAAAACGGAGGACAAGCGAAACAACAAACTAGTTTAAAAACCAAACGGTTAACAGGGCTAAAATGAAGCGCCAGAGAAACGCATTCGTAAAACTCAAAGGAAAGGAGAAGTGGTAATCTCTTGATCATTAGATCGACCGTTCTGTCACTGCGTCAATATTTAGTTCTTATTAACCGAGCGGGAGGTCTGTATGGGAGAATCTTGACCGAGGTCGCCAGTACAGACCGAATACAGTGAGGTCTGTACCAGCGACCGAGGTCAAGATTCTCCCACACAGACCGATCTAGCTCGGTTAATAAGATGTTTTTAATATATGGCTGTGTCTTATATGCCAATTTTTTATATTCTTTGTACCTTTTTTTTCTAGACCGGTCTAGATGCCGGTCTAGATGGGAAAATCTAGACCCCTCTCACTATTGATTTCAGCCAATCAGTTTCGTG